TGTTTAGGAAGTAGACGCCATTCCTACTTCCAAAATAAGTTTCTGTTTCACTGAAATAAAAAATGTTTTTTATGTTCTTATTTTTTATAAATGTTTCTATTTTCACCTCTGTTATTGATCACTGATGGTTGCATAATTTTGAAATTTTTCATTAGTGACTGACAAAAAGAAAAAAAATATAGGTATTGATATAAAAGTTGAAGTAATTTTATTGAATATAGTATATTAGCAATTTCTAAAACTTTGATTCAAGTATTTATTTTCCAGATAGAACGTACATACTTACCTACTCTGGTTAGAATCACTGAGTGCTAACAAAAGTCTTGCATTTAGTGACTGGATAAATCAATAGTTTAGTTTCAATGGGGACAAATCATAGCTTGACTTTTAATAACATCTTCTATTTTTTTAATTTTGCATTATATGTTAAATGAATAAAAAGAATTCTTAGCAATACAACTGTAAATTGACTTAAACTATGCAGTGTTGCCTGATTTCAGTTAAAAAATACTCTGCCCTTTGACTGTAAAGTCAAAATCAACAGAAATTCAGAAGTACAAAGAAATGAAAAATGCCTATTAAATGAGATTAGATGGGATTTTCATGTAATAGCTTTCATTTTATTTGTACCCCAATTGCAATGATGTAATTGATATGGCTTGAGGACAAAATGTGTGGCAAATATGTCAGACCCTCTTGAACTTGATTTGATGTAAGGAAAACTAGACATAAACTGGTGACAAGAACTTGACAGAAACTCAAGGGTAAAATACAAGAAAGAATGTATGCTAAAGGAATCAAAAGCTTGGCTTCTGGATCTAGAGTGCCTGTTTTGAATCTTAGCTCCTTTACTAAAAGCCATATTATTTTGATGAAATTATTTGATTTTACAGTGCCTCAGTTTTCTGAAGTATACGCTGTATATAACAATAAATATTTAATAGTTTAAAACATTTCAAATTCACTAGCTGCTCCATAGGAGAAGGCTGGACAATCTACTCTCGTGCATTAACTTCTTTGGAAAAGCCACTGAAGGGTAAGCTATGGGTCGGTTCCAACTCAATGGTACACAACAACAATTCTGTTTAAAAATACATAGGTATTGGCTTTGGTGGCCTAATGGTAAGGAATTGTGCTGCCAACCCAAAGGCACGTGGTTCAAATCTACCAGATGCTCCACATGAGAAAGATGAGCAATGTCCAGCTCCACTCAATTTGCTGCCTTTGAAAACCTGCTGTAGGGCCAGCTGTAGGTATTCAATAACAACAACAATTAGTATTAACCAGAATTGGGGACACACAGTTAACATGCTCACCCAGTAAGTGACAGGTTGGTGCTTTGAGTTCACCCAGAAACACTTCAAGATAAAGGTCTGATGATCTAGTGGGAATCAAGCCACTTAAAATCATATGCAGCACAACTTGGAGTTACTGGTTATTTAGGCATTTAGTCTCACACCATCAGCTTGTTTTGTTTTGTTGACTTTGTTTTGCTTGACATTGAAAACATTACCTTGCACCGCAAGTCACAAAAGGAGCGAGCTAGACTTTAATATATTTTCTCTCCATAAAATCTTGTAAGGACCTCTCTTTTATCTTCATGCTTTTATTTGAAAAATGCATTTACTACATTAATGCTTACTAGTTGTTAGGATCTATAGATGACATGTTATAAACTAGAGAGAGAAACAGCTATTTTTTTTAAAAATCTGAATCACCAAATGGTAAATGCAAATATTGTTCAAACTCTAGATTACACAAACTCCAGCACATATTACAGGGAACTCTCTCTGGTGGCCTTCTGGTAAAACACTAGTTGCATGATTCTTTTTTATGACTTATTTGTGACAGACTAATTAATATCTAAGGCAGAATCCAGATAATCATCGTTCTGTTATATGTTGATAGTGTTTCCAGTAAGCAGCCTCTGAATCAGCTTAAGGAAACTCATCATGATTAAGAAACTTACAAGAGTATCATTTTACTTCTATTTTTTAATTTAAACTATATCTAGTTTCCCCTTCTAAATCCAGCCTGGACTTATGTATAAATACATTTTTATTATTTATTCTGTGATTTGATTTTATTGTTGTTGTTGTTGTTGTTATGTGCCATCTAGTCGCTTGCGACTCCTAGCGACCCTATGTACAAGAGCTCTATACACTCTTCTATCCTGTGCCATCCTAGCCATCTCAAACACACATATTCCCACCTCTCCAGTCACAGAATCGATCCGTCTCATCAAAGGTCTTCCTCTCCTTCACCGCCCCTCCACTCTCCCAAACATGATGTCCCTCTCCAAGGACCAGTCCCTCCTTGCAACATGCCCAAAATATGTCAGACGAAGCTTCAGAATCCTTGACTCCAGGGAACATTCTGGCTCCACCCTCTCCAGGACAAATACATTTTTATTATTTATTCTGTGATTTGATTTTTTTTAATAGAAAAAAAAAAAACAACAACACACCCTGCTTCCAAACGGAACTTATATCTCATTTCCCTCAAACAGTTGATCTTAAATTCGCTCTTTTCATAAGTCAATGGTTAAAATGTATGCAGTTTATATTTACGCATTATGGATGAAGAGAGTTCCTCACTCTTATGCCTTCTTGTTATTGTTGTGAGGTGCCACTGAATTGAGTACGACTCAGCAACCCTATGAACTACAGATCGCCACCCTGTCCTCTCCTGTGTCATCCTCACCATGTGTGACGCTCTTGACGTCATTGCTGCCATCACTGTACCAACCCATCTGGTTAGGATCTACCTCTCCTCCTCTGACCCTGCACCTTTCCAACGTAATGTTCCCCTGCAAGCAATAGCCCTTCCTAAGAATGTGCCCAAAGTATGTGAGACAAAGCTTCATCATCCTTCTCTTCGGTCACTCTGTCTGCACTTTTTATAAAACATATCTTTTGGTTTGATTTGTAGCCCATGGATCATCGAGTGTTCTTCTCCAACAACACAACTCAAAGGCATTTCTACTTCTTCTGTCCTCTTTATTTGTTGTCCATAGCTCAGGTACATAGCAAATGACTCAAAAGTTCATGACCTGAAGCAGTCACACCTTAGTCTTCAAATTTACATCATTGCCTCTTAGTTACTTTTGAAAGATCTTTGACAGCAGAGTTTACCAATCCACCATGTCTAATTTCTTCACTGCTAGTATTGAGGGTGTTAATTGTGACGTTTTCTTCTTGATGTCGAGATGTAATCCATAGTAAAATCCTACAGTCTGTTCTGCAGCAAGCTTGGCAAGTCTTCCTCACTTTTGCCAAATAAGGTTGTGAAGGAACCTTCCTCCAATCTTGATGTCACCTTCACTTTATGATGATTTGCGGAACCTAGAGATTTAATAGGTATGGACAGTGGATATAACCCTGAGGCACGCCTTTCCTTCTCATCTTTTAGGCTTATTTAAAACCCAACATAGTGATAACCATGGTTTTCCACAATTAAGGTTGCATAGTGGAATGTACTTGGGGTGGTGGGAGGGGTGCGGGGGGGATTGTGTACCAGAGAAGGAGTGTTTCTTTTACTTTTGGAAGAGAGGAGCGAACTGGGGTGGGGCGGGGCTGGGCGGGGAGAGAAGTGCAGCAATGAATGAATGGAAATCCAAAATTTCTGTAAATGCTCATTAAATTATTTAAAAATATAATAGCCCCCCCAAAAATATAATAGTGTACACAAATGTGTACAATGTATACAAATTTTATAATAGTGTACACAAATGTGCACAATGTACACAAATTTTATATACAAACCAATGTATAATTAAAAAATAAATATTAAAAAAACTGAAACAACAACATAGTACTGGTCAAGCTCTTTAAAGGCAAAGCTCATATGCCCTTTTTGAGATCTCTGATGCCTAAAATAGTGGGTAATTTCATTAAACTGATACACAGGTATGTCATCTATACTTGAATGTCATAGACATAAAAGGGAAAAGAAAGCACACACAATGAAGTAGGAAAAAAATGACAGATTCAAGTACACATAAAGATTAAAATATAGCAAGAGAGTAGAATAATGAGGAGAAAAAGAATTTAATTCAAGAAACTATCATTTGTATAAATGAGAAAAGTTATATAAATGAAGGCTGAATGTTTGTGACAATTTAAAAATTAATTCTAAGTATATTCCTTTAATACCCACAGAAGTATGAAAATTGTAAGTAGAGAATGGCTTCCCATCTCCAGGTGTGGAGACAGAATGTTTCACCTTTGATATGCTTCAATTGTAAATTGTTGTTGTTGTTATGTGCTGTCAAGTCAGTACTAAAGCACAGCTGACCCTCCAGCAGGTTGTCAGGAGCAGTAAATTACAAGGGAGAAATTTGCCCTTCTTCCTGGGCTGGAGCAGGTGGTAGGCATGACTCACTTGGGTTTGAGTTGGGAGTACAGTTCCTTACCACTGGCCACCAGAGTTCGAAGTGTTAAATGAAGATATTGCTTTATTTCTCACAAATAAACTACCTGAAAAGTAGAGTCATTAATCTTCTAAATGTGAGATCTATGCAGAAGATGGGGCTAAATCTCTCAAATCTGAAACTTGGGAAGGAAAGCGGTTTTATTTTATGAAAATCTGCACCATGACACAAATGTTTGTGGAAAAGCAAGAACAAGATAGCCACAGAATAAGGTAAGACTTTTTAAAATGTTTAATTACTATTTAGTTTTTAAATGTTATACAAGTTTAGAGATTCGCTGTAAGCATTTATGGGTATAGCTAACATTTTGAGTTCTAGCAGAATTTTCTTATCCTAGTACTTATGATGTAGAAATACAGAATCAGGAAATAAAATCATCTCTACTGCAAAACTTTTAATCTTAAATTGTATTAAATGCCTCAAGTTATTTTTTCCTTTGTTTGACTATAGAGAAAACTTAAATAACCTATGCATTTGTGGATACTGGGTGATAGAGGACGTCATAATATTCTTCAATGGAGTGATATCACCTTGTTTTACTACTAAGGAGCTACACACACCTGAATGCATGGCAGGTTGGAATCATACTGGTGTGAAGGAATTCCTTCTAGTGGGATTAACGGAAAATCCAGATCTACAGATCCCTCTCTTTTTAATATTCACCTTCATTTATTCCATCACTTTGATCGGCAACTGGGGGATGATTGTTCTGATTTGGATAAACACTCGACTTCATACTCCCATGTACTTCTTCCTCAGCAACCTCTCTTTTTGCGATATCTGCTACTCCACTGTCTTTGCTCCAAAAATGCTGGTCAATTTTTTATCAGAGCATAAATCCAGCACGTTTTCTGGCTGTGTCCTACAGAGCTTCTTTTTTGCAGTGTATGTCACTACAGAGGGCATCCTTCTGTCTATGATGGCTTATGACCGCTTTGTCGCCATAGCAAACCCCTTAATGTATACAGTCATCATGACTAAAAGAGTGTGTATTCAGATGGTCCTTATCTCCTATTTAGGGGGACTCATTAATTCCTTGACACACACAATAGGCTTGCTCAAGCTAGACTTCTGTGGCCCTAATATTGTGAACCATTATTTCTGTGACATTCCCCCTCTTTTAAAGCTTTCTTGCTCTGATGCCCACACCAATGAAATGCTGCTTTTGATCTTTTCTGGGGTAATTGCAATGTTTACTTTCATCATCATCATGGTCTCTTATGTCCGTATCCTCATTGCCATCCAAAGAATCCGTTCAGCCGAGGGCAGGCGCAAGGCCTTCTCCACCTGTGCTTCCCACCTGACTGCTGTGATCTTATTCTATGGGTCTGTGACGTTCAGTTACATCCAGCCAAGCTCACAGTATTCCCTGGAACAGGAGAAGGTCTCTGCTGTGTTTTATACATTGGTGATACCCATGCTGAACCCTATGATCTACAGCCTGAGAAACAAAGATGTGAAAGAGGCTGCTAGAAGATCAATATTGTGGAGAAGGATTCCCATTTGACTCAGTCTCGTGCATAGCTTTTCTAACGGCAAAAAGATGGCAATTCTTCTTTAAATTATTTCAAATATATGATCACAAGCAATACAAGATCATAATCTTTCACAACTTAGGCACAAGTATTGACTGTGACATATATGTTAAAATCATCTTAATGAATATCTCCTGGATTTGAGTTCTGATTCAGTTTCTAAAAAGCTGATAAGTACATGTTTGTTTTTTTTTTAAATAAACTCTAACAATAAACCCTTAAAGAGCTCAACAGGAATTTAAAAGAATCAGACATTGCCTAAAAGAATTCCCTCTCTACTAATAGAGATTTCCCGATTGCTTTGTACAGACAGAAAATTTAAAATATTGCTCAGGAAACACTGAAATATTGCATTGATCTATTTTCTAAGACAATAGACACAAATTGACCTCATTCTTAAAATATCATAATTAATGCAAAAATATGCATCTTTAATTTTGTATTAAATGTACATATCTCAATTGATTTTGTTGTGTTCTGTTACATCAGAATTGACCTCTGGATGATTTTCCAACGGTTTTCAGAGACAGTAAATTGCACGGAGGAGATTGCCCATCCTTCTCCCAGAGCAATTGGTGGGTTTGAGCTGCATGCCTTTGGGACTGAAGCACAGCCCATTACTACTAGGCCATTAGAACTTCCTAAAAAAATAGCTGTATAATACAAATAAAATTATTATTTACTCATTCAATCTGCTTCTACTGAACATCTTTTCTATGCCAGTTACTCTGGGCTCAAAGAGCCCTGGCTCTTTGCAGCCTCCGGCTGTACTTCCAAGACACATGTGTTTGTTCTTTCAACATTCTTCTTCAACATCACTGTTCAAAGGCAGATAGGAAGCGTGTCTACAGACTTTGGGACTGAGTGGAAGAAAGGCTGAGGAGAATTCAGCAAAGAAGTGATGTGCTCTAACACAGATATTAAAAAGTTGACTCTGGCTACTTTGTTGATATAAATAGACCACAAAAAGGAAAGAATAAAAGTCGAGTCAGGAAAATACAGAGTAATTAAGACTTGGGAGCAAATGCAGTGGCCCATAGGTAAAGAGCTATGCTGCAATCCCAAAGGTATGCAGTTCAAATTCACCAGCTGCTCTGCAGAAGAAGGTGGGCGATCTTGTCTTGTGCTATTAAACTGCCTCTAAAAACCTGTTGGAGAATCAGCTATAGGCCAATTCCAACTCAACGGTGCACAAGAACAGCAATATCATCATAAAACTGGTGAAAATGCAAATATGAGATTTGTTGTGATGATAGACTTGGAAGAAAGGTGGAAGAAATAAGAGAATCAAAGAAAATGTCAAGATTAAAAAAAAGAAAGTCAGGTAAATATATAACCTCAAAAATATGTATCGTTTTCAAGCACATATACAATGTTCCCAAATGTGTCTTTGACAGAACAAAAACAAGTCTTAATACCCTATAAGGATGATGTGCATCCAATCTCTAACTGTACAAAGCTATTTAAATTCATGATTTTTCAGTTATAGAGATAATGACACCTTCTTAAGTCACCTAAGTCTTTCTCCCACCACATCAGCTCAATCTGAAGGACCCAGGATCCACTCAGGTCCATCATTCTGCACTACCACTGCCCTCACGTGGTTCCAGCTAGGGCTATCTCTCACCAGGATATTTTCATGCCTGATTGTTTTTAGGGTTTGTGTTCCAGGTACAATACTTATCTGTCCGTTTGTTGTATTGTGAGAGTGGGATGCACGTGGCTTAGTGGTAAGGGTTGCGCTGCTAACTCAAAGGTATGTTATTCAAATCCACCAGCCACTGTGCGGGAGAACAATGGGCAACATCCGCTCTCATGATTTACATCCTCTGCAAACCTGCTCAGCTATGGGTTGCTGGCTAAATTATGTGCAGCAACAACAATAATAACTTACTTTATAGCATAGGTGTATACCAGGAGCTCTGGTGGCCTAGTGGCAAGAAGCTGTGCTGCAATCCCAAAGGCACACAGTTCGAGACCACCAGCTGCTCTGCAGGAGAAGGATGGGCAATAATCTCCTCCCGTGTGATTAACAGCCTCTGAAAATGAGTGAGAGGGTCAGCTATGGGTCAGTTCTGACTTTATGGTACACCACCGCCACCACAGCAACAACAGCCGTATATACACTTACTTGGCTTATTACTCACTCTTATTACATCGCACTTATTGGTCAGTTTTTTGTACTGGGGAAATTTGTGATTTACTGTGATGCTGGTAGCTATGCCACTGATATTTCAAATGCCAGTAGAGACCCAAGATTAAAATAGATTAAAAAACAGGATGGCCAGCCACTTCTGAAATAACAGGCCTTAGAAAAATCTATGAGCAACAAAGGGACATGATGAGTTTACAATATGAGAGGTAGAGCCCAGATTGGAAGTAATTTCAAAATGAGGAATTGTAGCTACAAACATCTACTAATAACTATAATGTGCAGTGTACAAAGCAGAAATCTAGAAAAACTATGAGTTATAAAAAAGGAAACAGAACACACATGGAATGACTCTCTAGGCATTAGTGACCTGAGTCGGATTGGTCTTTACTGCTTTGGATCAGACAATCATAGGATTCACTGTGTCAAGATTGAAACATTGAGGAAGAATGGTTTTGCCTTCATATTTAAATAGACCATTTCAAGAAGGAATGATAGCTAAAAATGACAGAATTGCTGAAAGACAAGACTGGAAATGAAAGGATTTAATTGAATACATTCAACCATTTACTCACTGCAAATACTTTAAGAAACACAGATGGTAACATGACTCTTCCCTGATATACTGTATAAGAATCAGATTGACTACATTTGGGGGGGGGAGAAATCATTGGATAAGCTCCTATCAGCAAACAAAACTAGGCAATGTGTCGACTGTGAAGACTCCTTTGTATACATTATACTGTCACGACACTGTATTTCTGGATGGATCTGGAAATGACCTTTTTAACTATAACAAATCTTGTTTTTCCTTACCTTTTCATCTCCAATGCAGTAGATCATGTGAGTGTCTGACTCAAAATGTCCAATGCCAATTCTAATATGGTTTATTACAGGTGTAAAGAGCCAGAATATATAAGTAAGGATTAAAAGCCATAATATACAAATAAACCCCCCAATGGATATAGAGTCAGATTAGACAAATAAGTTATTTTTAGGGGAGTTTCCAACTTTCTCTCACATGCTTCTCTCCATAAGAAAATAAAATAGACCCACTAAAAATCTACATGCTGGAGTTAGAAAAATAATTTTAATAATTACTATATTAACATGTTTAATATAATATTTTTAAAGCTATAAAATATGTTATAAATATTTAAAAAAAAATAAAATTAGTATTTTAAAAAGTCAGTCAGTAGAAGTGCTGAGACAAGTGTTATTTCCATATGCTTAAAAAGGAAATTCAACCTCTACTTCATGCCATATAAGAAAATTAGCAAAAAATAGGTCATAGTAAAACATGAAGAAACAAAACCGTTATTTTTTTTAGATATTTAAGTCCCTCAAAAAAACAAAGAAAAGCTTTTAAAAATTATTAGAAGTTTAGAAGTTACTGTTTAGCTTTTGCTATCATTTTTGTTGGTATTGTTGAGTCAGATGTGACTCACAGCTGACCCTTCAGTGGGTCTTCAGAGACTGTTAATCACATGGTAGGGATTGCCCATCTTTCTCCCAGTGGAAGAGCTGATGGATTTGAACCGTGTGCCTTTGGAGTGCTAGTGCAGTTTCTTACTGCTAGTCACCACAGCTTACTGTTACTGATAAATATTCTCAAGTAGACACTGACATAATCATTCCATTAATAATAAAAAAATGCTTTGTATTTTACCATCCTGGTACTCTCCACTATGTTAAAATGCACTGTTGCAGACACTGTGCCAATCCATATAATTGAGAGTCCTCTACTCTTCTGCTGACATTTAAATTTTCTACACCTTTTGACAAGATGACTGAAGTATGAGAAGTAAAGTGTCACCATCCTTTTGTCCAAGGAGCATCCCATTGCATTTCCTCATTTCCTTCAAGACATATTTGTTTCTTTGGTTTTTGGCAGCCTATAATATAACCAATACTCTCCACAATTCAGACATCAGTTCTTTTACACTTCTGTGTTCATTGTCAAACATTTATATGCATGTGTGTGTATGTGTGTGTGTGTGTGTGTGTGTATCAGACATCAGTTCTTTTACAGTCTTCTGTATTTATTGTCCAACATAGAGAGATTATAGATAGATAGAGGATAGATAGATGATAGATAGATTGATAAAAGGTTGATAGATGATAGATATATAGATTGATAGAACAATCATAGATAGATAGATAGATAGGTATATAGATATAAAGATAATAGATAGCTAGATAGACAAACAGACAGACAATAGATGGACAGATAGATAAAGCTATAGCATCCATAGCTTAGTTCATGGTTTGGTTTAAGCTCTAATCTGATGTCCTTGCTTTTTATCACTTCAAAGAGATCTTGACAGATAGATATTCCCAAAGCATCATGTCTTTTATTTCTTGACTGCTGCTACAAAGAGTGTTGATTGTGGATCCAAGCAAAATTAATTCTTTAAAAGCTTTAATTTACTAAATTAAATTCAAGATGGACGTTAACTTATTAGGTACATTAAGACTTTGCTGAGTCCTGACTAGTGTAGTAGTCTGTGAAGAGTAGTATAGAAACCCAAAGAAACCACTTTTCTGGCTTTTTTAATGCACACATGGTCACACAGACAAGAGAGGGGCAAAGTCCTCTCATGCAATTGGCAGCTTCCCAAAATTCTGCTGGAAAGTCAGCTCTGTGCTCTGACTCGAAGACAGTGAGTTGTGTGAATAAGATTTCTTGATAAGAAAAATAAATCAAGTATTGTGGTTTAGAGTGAATACTTAGGGAAAATAACTTACCTAATGAGACTGGGAACCTCCTATCAATATTTTTATTAACACTGTCATCAAAGCCCTAAACCATATCAAACA